ATAGAAACTTTTATTCTGAATATCAGGTCATATAAAAAAATCTCTTTATTTATTCATGTGCAGAAGGAAGAGAATACTGTGGAAAGAAAACAAAGATTGATATTGTATTAAGAGAATAGAATCCTCTACCTATACAGATTTAATGGAATGGCATCTTAGGCAGCAAATTCTCTGTTTCATATTTTTCAAAATTTTCCTGTACAGTTTATGGTATCAAGTTAATCTCTGGCATGACCTGTCCTGAGGAGTCTGTCTCAGTTTTGTCTGAATATTCTTCTTTTCTGCATGGGATATCAGCAAGTCTGTCGCAAAATTACTTGACAAAATCAATTTACTTCACGATGCAATGCAAGCACACACAAATCCTTTTCTAAACAGAGACCAAAGCCACAAATGTAATGTCGTACACAGTGCAAAATGAACTGATATTCTGATTCAGTTGAAAACAAGCAAAAATACATGGAGCATTATGATTTTATTTTTTCTCATCTACCAAAAGATGAGTTTTTTAAGTAAAAATTTTTAAAATTTAGTAGTAATGATTGGTTAAAATATTTAGAATTTTTTGATAATATTCTCTGCTATTAGATTTCAAATTGATTTTGAACATTGACTCCTTTGTGGCTATTGTGCTAATCAAAGTTCCAATTATATCACTTGAGCACATTTGGAATGAATCATTTTCAAAGCAATTATATTCTTTTCAACTCTTGCTTGGTTTTGTTTCCTTTCATCTTTTGTATTTCAGCATGAGTTTTTTTTTTTTCAACACACCGTTTCTTTAGATTCATGTGTTGGTAACCTTGCAGAGTTGAAATATAACAGATTTTTGAAAGAATTTTGGAAAAAACAATAACAGTGATTCTAATAATGACCAATTTGAATTGATTTCATCTTTGGTTAATTCTTAATTAAATAGATTTGCTAAAAATGTTAAATATTCATGTTTGTTAGGTTGACCAACATATTTTATTCAGATATTTATTGCACTTCCTTTTTGGTAAAACTTAAAATCTAATTTTTATGAGTGCATTTCTATTAAGAATTTATTGTTTTAGCTACTTTAAAAGTTCAATGAAAGGGTAAAGACAAATGTTTAAGCTTTATCCTGTTCAGTTTGAATACTGCTCAAAAGTGAGGTTTGACCATTTCTTTTATAGTTGAATAGTTTGAAGGAGAGGCAACTATGTTTGTCTTCTACTACAGAAACTTTTCTATATTAAAATAAGGTACATCATGTTAAAGGAGTAAAATTCTGACTTTATAGAAATATTTTGATAATATCCTGAATTTAATTCTTTGTTTTTTAAATTTTGATGTTTTTGATGTATTGTTAATGTGAGGTTTGACCATTTTCTTTTATATTCTCTATTAATATTTAGAATTAATTTATTTTGCTTAACATTGAGATATATAAATGAGTATAATAGAAACTAATAGAAACTGTATAATAGTAGCATGAAAATGTTTTAAGTCCTGAGGGTTCTTTCAAATTTCATCTCGTACAAGTGCTCTGATGTGTGTTAAGGACCTTAAAACTTTATGCTCTGTTTTGTCAATCATTTGCATCCTGTCACTAGAATGTAATGAAGAAATGTAAGAAAATAGGGGGGATGTTGCCGTAAATATCCTCAATGTTAGTTTATTTCCACCAAGATGTCCTCCAAATGCTATCAATTTTTGTAATATTTTTCAGTGACTTACATTAGCCTACTAAGAAATTTTCAATTTAAACAATGCTTATTACTCCTATTCAATCATTTGTAACAAATTTAGATTGAATAAGACCCCTGCACAGCTACAATATTTAAACAAAAACTTTCACTTGAATTATCAATATTCTCTTCAATAGTATTAATTATTATGAAATCAACTTCATTACTGAATTGTAAATGAAATGCACTCATAAAGTGGATTTTCTCTATCTGCACTTCTTCAAACCTTATCGATAATTTATTCTTTTACTTTATTGACAATTTATTCCACTCTCTCATTGTTTCATTTTCATTAAGCCACCTGGAACATGTGCTACACTTAAGTCAAATATCTAAATTATAAAATTCCATATTCACTCATTACATGAAAAACATCCATCCAAAACATTGTCTATTTCCTATTAATACTAAAAGCCAAAAATATTAATAAATTAACCAATTGATTTACAAAATACATTTCATTTTGTCCTTGGTGGCTTTATTTCTTTCTTTTGAATTCATGTCATGTTTTCTTTATATATATTTCACTCTTGTCATTCTGTACATTACTGTGCTATTTTCTATTTTACTTTAAGCTCCTTGTCTTGTTTCTAGCATTGTGACATTTTGCTGTGACATGTTTGTGAAGGTGGTCAAAGATATTCTTCTTCTTACATGTGTTGAACTCTTATCTCTGATTTGTTCTCTTTATTCCTCCTCATGTGCCTCATCTTTGTTAGTTGTGTTTCACTTGAAAGTTGTGCTGCACTTGGTGTTTATTTCAGTCTCATCTTTCTGTCCTCTGCTGTTACTGTGGTTACTAAGGGTTGGTATCTAATCTGGTTATTGGGAAAATTGCTTTCTTTCCTCTTTGACCATTGATGCTGGAGATACTGTGGAAGACAAAAGTGAAAAAGAGATTATATGTATGCACATGTCTACACCACTGTCACTCTCTTGTGCAGATATGCATAACTACACATACATGTGCACATCTATGTATATGTGTCTTTATGTTTTTATGTATTTCTATTCATATGTATATATATAGATGTGTGTTTGCCTACATTTGTACATGTGTATTTATACATATAGGTTTGGATTAGAAATACCCGATATATATAAGATATGGTATACAATTCTATATATCAAACTAATAGTGGGTAGTTGAATGAACAAATGGAAAAACTCCAAAGTGATACATTTCGTTTCCATGTCAATGGAGTTAGTCTTAGTTTGTTAGAGATATACAACAAAGAACGGTTACATTTTTACATCAGCAAATTGAAAGATAGAGTGGTACTCCACTTTAAATTTAAATCTTTTACATTCAAAGTATCTAGATGTTTAACTTGTTGATCTTATTCTTATTGTTTTTATTTATATTTTTTTATCGCTATTGTTTTTAATTTACCTACATTGTAATACCAATAGGAAAAAAGGTATATTGTATGATTATGGATGAAAATTTACTGTAAAAGATTCTGAAATTAGCGCACTTTCAATATATTTTTGCTTTAATAAATTACTTTCTCCTTAAATTAAAAGTCAAAATTATGGTTAGACTATTACAATGAATAACACATTGTTTGTAATTATTTGTTTTATAAAAGACCCCTTTTTGATTCATATACTTTTATTTAAATTTCTAGATGCTTCATCTATGTCTTGGGACATTTGTTGCAGTCTGTTTTGAAATAGATTGTTTAAATTAAACATCAAGATAACCCAGACATAAAAATTTTCAGTATAAAGTTGAGCATACTTGTATCATTAACATTTGAGATTTGAATTAAAAATAAAAAATAGAAAAAAAGTTGTCAGCACTCTATCATAATTTCTCCTATAATTCCTAATTTAACCACCCCCTCTTTTCAGGTAGTAAAAAGGTATTCAAAAAAAGGAAAGAGAAGGAATGGCAGGAAAAGAAAAGGAACAAAAAAGAAATAAACATATGTAACCTTTCACTCAGATTTCTTTCTCTTTTCTGGTATTGCAAAGTTCAGGTTGTTAGTGCGTTTTCAACTAAGAAAAAAATAAAAAGAATAAAAATATATAAACACAGTGTCTTTGATACAATTTTATTTCCTTGCTTCCTCTTTGTCCTCACTTCTACTATCTCTTGCTTCTTTACTCACTGTCTTCTGTTCCTTTCATTTTCTCCTTACACAGACAGATGTTATGTGGTAAAAAGGTAAGGTCACATAACTCGATTTTTTTTTCTTTTTCTTCCCACCTGATCTTCCACTCTATAACATTTTCAATGTAACCAGTGTTATATATATATATATATATATATATATATATATATATATATATATGGCTGACTATTGATAAACTCATTATTAGTCTGAAGTTTTTTCTAGAGACAGAATATGTCACTTAGGAGTTTTTCTATTGTTATATGATTACCTATATATATATATATATATATATATATATAGCAATTCAACTTTAAATCTTACCAAATGCTTATTTCTGACTTTAAATTTATTATTTTTATATAATATTATTAATCAAATCCAAATTTATGACTGTCAACATTTGTCAGTTATCTGTAAAAAATATAAATTTACATTATTTAAATTCAGTAATAAACATTTGATATAATATTAATGTAATGTAAAAGTGTGTGTATACATGAATGTTGAATAACTTTGTTTGTGTGTATCTCTCAGCTGTGGTGATCTTTGTTTCTTTCTGCTATATACACAATGTTTTATAACACCGTTCATTTTTTACTGGAGATATTACATCCAATGGTGACGGGAAACTTATAAAAGTGGTTGTTTGTGTTTATGTCTGTCCAAGCACTTATGCACTCACTTCTTGTCTTTGTGAGCACTCATCTGTTAGTTCTGTGTTTTACTTGTTTACTGATTTTGCTCAGCCTTGTGTCCAAATCGTGTCCTTCCTACGTCAAAATCATCGTCCATTCTCTGTCTTTGATTGGCAAGATCATCTGGAATCGGTGTGGTTCCTGCTCATGTACGTTCATCCTGTTGTTCTTAACATTATTCTTTAGGCGATTGCGGAGCATCTAAGGCCGATATTGTCTTCATCCTTGACTCTTCCACGAGTGTTAGCGAGCCCAATTTTAAGAAGATGCTTCACTTTGTGAAGGATTTCATTCAAGAAGCAGACATTGACAGCAAGGGTGTCAGGGCAGGATTGCTCATCTACAGCACAGAAGTGAAAATTCAGTTCTTTTTGAATCAATACAGAAGTAAGGTTGATGTACTGGATGCTGTGGATGAAGTACCTTATGTGTATGGAAGTACTAATACAGCAGATGCTCTGAAAATAATGCGCACAGACATGTTTACAAGAGAAAATGGGGACCGACCATCTGTGCCAAATATTGCCATCATCCTTACGGATGGTGTTTCAAATGTCAATGCTTTTGAAACAATACCTCAGGCAAAGACTGCTCGTGCCGAAGGAATACAAATTTATGCTATTGGTATTGGTTTGGCTGATACAAAAGAGTTGGATGGAATTTCATCAAAACCAATTCAGAAATATCGCTATACAGTGAGGGAATTTGATGAGCTGAAAGATTTGAAGCAGAAAATCTTTGCAAAGTTCTGTCCAGGTGAGTAGACAGCAGAGACCTGCAAGTGGTCATAATGTCAAGTTGTTGTTGCCCGAGTAGTTTGTAGTTGATAAAAGTTATCAGTTGTCATTACTGACATTCTAGTTATCAGTTTTAGACACTGTTAAAAGTACAGTGTAAGTTCAATAAAACATTGCTAAATTAGATTTTAAAGGATTGGTGTTTATATAAATAGGATTACAAGAAGGTGCTGAAAATTTCTTGGCCTGTCACACATCTCCAACTGTGAACAAATGAATAATCATCAGTTTTTTTTTAAATCCTTTATTAGTTGATTCAAGATCATTTCAGTGCCTCCTTGTAGTATTATTTATTGATCATTTATGGCTGGGTAATCCTTTTAACATATCTAGTTAGTTTTAAACCTCTAAATGCCTGACAGTAATTTAGGTCATTTCTTATTTATCTTGATTTTATTCTCAATCATATGAGCTTTACCTTTTTCATGTAGAATCATTATTAGTTTCTTCTTACTTCATTCTTATCTTTGTACCATTTCTGCCATCCTATAATCCTTGTATTAAAAGAATGCTGTAATCATCAGCCCGAGGAAAGTGCCAAAATAAGTCCTACTCAAATAAAGTACTGATTAGATATTTGATATTGCTGGGACATTTGTTAAAAAAAGAATACTAAAAATAATGCCCCCCAAAAATGATGATGACTTATTATTAATTTTATCTGTTGACAATATTAAATTCATTATGTAGAATAAACACTAACCTATGTAATACTTGAATTTATAATGCATTGTACTGCAGATTTTACAAGTACATGAATGTACTGATAGCTATCAGTACATTCATGTACTTGTAAAATCTGAAGTACAATGCATTATAAATTGAATGAAAAGGACATACTGCCATTACTATAATAATGATGATTAGAATGACTTTAGCAGAGATTCAAAGTCATGCTTAATTTAATTTTGATTATCAAAGTTAGGTAAGCTACTTAATACATTAAGGCACCTCAACAGTTATGTAACAGACATTGGAAAGTCATTGGAAGTGGTATGTGAGAATTTCTTGAATATCCATTATAACTGTATACATTTTATAAGTTTAAGTGTGGCAGATGTTCAAAAGATACCATCATGAAAACAACCAATAAAATTTATATTCTTTGAACGCAAAAGGCCAGCAAAGGTCTATAAAGACAATTGTCAAGGACCATTGAATATCAAAATTTCAATATATGAGAAAGGGTACAAAAAGTTAAAAAGTAAAAAATATTCAAGAAGCACAACTAAATTTCTAAATACTGAACAAACATGTTATTGTTTTACTTCATGCCTTATTCTCAGAGGAAAGCTCTACTGTGTCTTCTGTAGATTCTCCTTGTTAGATTTTGCACCGTTCTTTTTATTGCACTTCCTGTTTAGCATGTATGCATCACATGCACAATGTTAATTGCATTTGAATGAAACTTTCTACTTCAACATTCCAATACCTGGCCCCCAACACCAAAGTCAACTGCTAAATGTGTTTTGTTTTTGTTTCTCTCAATCTTATATTTTATGCTGCTTTTATACTATAGAATATCTTTAAAGTTATTTTGGAGTTTTGTTATTATCTCTGCTCATAAATTTGGAAGTGTGTCAAAATTTCATTACCCTTTGTATGATTTCTTAAAAATATGCATTTTCCTGTGGAGTTTCTGAAAAAGCTTTTAATCTCTGAAGAATTTTAAAAAGTTTTTCAAGTCTCAGGTACAGATGTAATAAGTGATCTACTTATGTATCTAGTCTAAGAGATTACATTTGAGAGGTATTGTGTGCTTCTGAAAGCTTATATTATTATCTGGTTAAAATTAATAAAAGCAGATATAACTTCTTATTTAATCCTCTTTTTATAACTAACATTTAAATATTAATTCATCAACAGTAGATATGGATTTTTGAAGTTGATGATGAAATGTATTTTTTACTTAAATATTATAAATTTAAAATTTATACATTTTTTTAAAAAATGCCATGTCACTTCAACATATAGGCAATCATGGTTCAACACAGACACCTTTTTTCTTTAATTATCTGTGAATTGCCATGATTTCTTGAAAAAGATAGTAGAATGATTTCCCTTTGCCTTCTTCATGATTTTGAATTCAGTCTGGTTGTCATTCAAAGTTAGAGACCTCAGTCTATCCTATTATTTAACCCATGGCAAATCTTACATTTACATAAAAACATGAATGTGTGCATATACATTCTTTTTTAACCAGACAAGCATTTGATGTTTTTAATTAAGTCTACAGTGATTTACAAGTTTATTTTTCCAAAATAACAACAATAATTTTAAAAATTTCGGTTTGTAGGAAACCTGATAACTTATTAATAGGTAGTTGGTTTAAATTCTAAGCTTTTTTTTTTATTTCTCAATCCAAAAGACATCTCTAAGCTGTGAATTGCTGATTTCTTCTTACTTTTAATTTGTTTTTCCAGAATTAAAATTCATACACTTATTAAAACTTTTCCTATTTAGCCTTCTAGAAAAATATCTTGCAAAAGCAAATGTAAAATAATATATAAAATATTCCAGCATTAATTTCTTTCTAATTTCTCTACCAATTTCTATTATGCACACTTATCTAAGTCTGACTTTCAAAATAACACATTCCCTGAAATATATTTGAATGGAGCAAAATCAAATGAAACATTATTATTTTGTAAAGAGGCTATGATGAAGGATTTGGTGTTGGCAGATAATTATTGAAATGTTGATGACTTTTCCCCAGATTTGGGCTGATAGGCAGCCATTTTTAGTGGCATTTATTTTCAACAGTAATTGAAACTGAGATATCTTTTTTATCCATATAGGAATCCAGTTTGTAAGGTTTGGTTGAAACTTTTTCATTTCATTTTGGTTTTCAATTTGATTTCTCTCCTTTCATGGACAGAAGAAATTTAAATAAGAATTCTTTCAGTAAAACAACTGCTTAATTCTTCCAACTTCATTTTAATTGTAAAAAGAAATGTTTATATTTTCATCTTCTTGTTTCTGCATATTCTTATATTTTTTTTATTTGGAAAACTATACTTTCTCATTTATTAACTTATAAAGTTAAAATCTTTCAGTTAATTGATAAGCTTTGATTTTAAGGACATTTCCAAATTAAATAAGTTAGTTTTACTCTTCTTTTACTGCCATATATTAAAACTATTTTTTCATTGATGTTTACATTATTCTCATATTGATTGTAAACATGATTATATTTGATCCAACTAAATGATTATTCTCTTCTTTCCCTTTGCACATTTTCATCTGAACCAGGCCGAAAACCAGGTAATATAATTGTTTTTTTTTTGTTAATCTTTTTTGTAAATCTGTCATAAAAATATATTTTTATTAGCTTCAGAGTTATATTTGTTCCTAAAATGTGTGTTTGTATTTGTTTGTGTATGCTTATTACTTTACATTCTTTTAATCAACTATTTCTATATTCATCCTCAGAAAATGTTATATTGTTTTTATATACCACATTGCAATTTTAGAAGTATGACTTCCTTTCTTTGAAGAGGATTAGAAAATAAAAAAAAAATGATTGGGACTGTATTTATAATTTTTATTTCTAGCACTTTTCTTTTTTAATACAAATGTTCATCCAATACAAGGCTGGAAAGTAACTCAAGGTAAAGGGCTACTGTTAAAATAGGTTATGATGAATGAGGTATGAATGAAAGATGAAGTGGTAAGAAGCAGATATAATGAATGGCTCTTGATTTGACAAGGTTAAGATTGTAGTTTTCAGGGAAGCATCCACACAGGAATAAGCTCCATAAAGTAAAAGTTGTTGGCTCCTTAGTTCTTACATTTGGGATACTGAGGAGATTAGGGCGATTTGACTCTGTGAAAGTAGCATGGCATATCCTAGCTATAAAGTCTGAACTGTTAAAACTAAAGAATCTGAATATTTGCCATGGAAATAGCAAATAAGTAGTGATAGACTTGCAATGATGTGTCTGTGAGAAAGAGGTTATAGAATAGAGAATAAGTTTTCCCCACAAAAATGTAAATGATTTTTAATTCTATCAAGTCTGGAAACTGAGGATTGAGCAGCTCCAGCCCAGATATGGCAACAATACTCGATTTTTGAAGTAATCCAACTCTTGTAAAGATAAAGCATGTTAGGAGTTAGGTACTTCCTAGGGCAATAGAATTTGCTGACCATTTTTCCTAGCATCTTAAAGATGCTAGATTGCAATAGATTGTATATATGAGTTTTTAACAATGTTAATGTGTCTCAATGTTAGATCATTGAGAAAATGTTCACTCAGAAATACAGATTTTTTAAAAATATTCTTCTAACCATCTGAATAGTTCTACCAAACTTTCAGCCTAACTGTATATATTTGTGAAAGGCTGTGTCTACCATAAAATTTTATATACATTTTTAGGGTATCATAAAATAGAAATTATTTTTAATAGAAATAAATTCAATTAACACTGGCCAAATAAGTATCTACTAAGCTAAGCTTAATCTAGCACAAAGTTAAAAATGTGGAGCATTGAGTGAAGAACAAACTGATTATGGTAGAAAAAGTTTGTCACACAAAGTTGATAAGAACTTATCTAAGGAAAATTGTTCATATTAGCCAAATATAAATATGATTTTTTAAATTGATAATATGACAGTAATTGTTGAGATATAGACTGAGTTTCTTGCCTAATTTATGTTGAATCATTTGCTGATAATAAATTCAAAATATTTATTATTGATACTTCACTATAAAACAGTCTTCTAAGCTTGATATATTACTGTCTAAAATTGATTACATCTCAATTCATATCTCAAATCTGAATTCACTGGCATCATAAAATGCTTAGTCTTTGGGCTTTTTTTGCTTTCATTCAAGTTAGGTTTTCTCATATCTGGATGCCCTTTACCTGAATTTGAACACTCACAGATTTTTCTCATGTAAGGTGGTATATAAATAAATCTATTTCCTAGGAAAAAAAAACTAAAAACACTGTAATCTGAAAATAAATAAAAATCTTTCTATCTCTCTCTTTTTTTCTTGAATATATATTAATTCTTTTAATTTTTTCTGTTGTAGCCAAACCATCTCCAAGTGAAGTAGGTAAGTAAATTAATAGTGTTATCATTTTAAGAAAAAAGTAAAATTTTGATTTGTCATATTTATTAAAATTATTAGAAGTGGTCGAAAATGAAACTAAGTTTCAGTTATAAAAATGGTGGTAAATTATATGAAGATAGTTCAAGACATCCTGGATATGCTTAACCAATATAAAAATAACTTTTCCTGTCAGATAAATAGGACATCCTCTTTAATTTGGTTGGTTAATTATTTACTCTTAAAATGATTTCTTAATTTAATTTATGTTTTAACAACATATCCATATTCATTTTTTCCAACCATTTAAAAAAAAAAATACATTATTTTTTGTTTTATAAATTAAGAATATGTGATATAGGAATCCTGAAAATATGTTACTTTTTATTATTAAATACTTACTTTTTTATTTACAAAAAATATCCTAGGATTAAAGCAGGCCCCCAAATGTATATACTGTACACAGCTTATAAAAAATGCTGCTGTCATGATACATTTGTCAGTGACAAATGTATCATAATTTATGTTTCTGCAATCACCAACAATATATTGCTCTACTTGGTATTGAGCACTTTTTTAAAAGTAAATGCTATGAACAGTGGAATTTTACTCCATCTGTACTTTCTCTCATTTGGATATAAAGTGATTTTCCAAGTGTAACTTGGATGTGGCACAAGGCCGAAAGTAAGGAGCACCCAGTGAGGACTGAACTCACTAGTCAGTCATAATTGTTGTAGTGAGACAAGCTTGCTAACCATTGCACCACCTCGAGGTGCCCTCTCATTTGGATATATTTATATATTTTTTGTAACATCATAATTCTAAAAAATAAATTTGTTTAAAGTTGAACAATCTACTACTAGTTTAGTTCAAAAAAATTATTTCAGAAGGTTTGAACATTATAAAAAACTTGTTTTTCTCTTTATTGATACTGAAGAGAACTTTTGTATGTTTTTGCAGAGACTGGTCAGGATATAATTTTGATGTTGGATACCAGTGTTGATATTTCTCTCTTCCAATGGATGATTGCATTTGCTCGTGCTTTTACTGGTCAAGCTGATGTGAACTCTGGCCAAATGAGAATTGGTCTGATGGTATTCAGTGATGAACCATATGTCGAAGCACAACTTAATTCCCATATGAATCAGGCTGATCTCTTGCAAGTGGTTGATTCTCTCCCTCACAAGAAAGGAAAATCAGATAAGGCTCGGGCTTTCAGGAAAGTAAGCAGCAAATATTTACTTCTTCATTTCTATTTATCTTGTTTTCTGTTACCATAAAAAAATTTTATTTATGAGTTTATTCATTTCTAAAAATTAAATGATGATATTCATATTTGTATCTTTACATCATTTTGTATATGTGCTGAGGTATAAGTTTGTGAATTTGTAACAATTTATAATTTAGTGAAATGTGTGGATGAGTAAAACTTGGTTATTTTTCTGTACAATTTGTCTATAAATTTGGGAAGGGAGATGTTTTTGCTGTTATTCCTACAGGAATTTAAACCAACAATTAATAATTAATATTCCCCATTGAAATAAGTGCTTTAACAAGGAAAGAGATTATGTTGAGAATAAATATTCAGTGTGGCTAGACACACGATTGCTTCAAGCCGGGATTGAAACTTGACCGATTTGACATCAGTTGGAAACTCTTACCCCTAGATTATCAGCATGTGCTATGGATAAAGGGAATTTTTAACACTTGTATACATGATATAAGCATTATCGGCTGCCAGAGTGGTCTATTCATTTATTATGTATATATATATATATATATATATATATATATTTTTTTTTTTTTATTTATATTTATTTATTTATTATATATATCAAGCCCCACCCACATTTCTCACCCACATTAGACTAACATGCTTGCAGAGATGTTGAGGTCTCACACATATACACACACTCTCACAAATATATACACATACACACATCACACACACTCCCCAAAAACTAAATGATAACATACACTTAATACATGCATCCCCTTTCCAGCAGCCAATAAAACTCTCAAAATGACTAAGGAGGGAATTATGAGACTTAGGAATCCTCCAGCCTCTATTAAAAAAAAAAAATGCTTGAAAGAGGCCTTTCAAACAATACAAGGA